AAATGTGGTATATTTACACAATGGAGTACTATTCAGCAGAAAAAAACAATGGAATCCTGAGATCTGCAGGCAAATGGATGGCACTAGAAGAAACGATCCTGAGCGAGGTAACCCAGTCACAAAAAGAGAAACATGGCATGTACTCTCTCATATATGGATTTTAGACATAGATCTGGGGAGTACCAGCCTATAATCACATGGCCAGAGAGTCTGGGAAGCAGAACCTTCATTCAGTGGCTGATGGAAGAATAGGCAGACTCCCACGGCTAAGCACTGAGCTGAACTCATGAAATCCAGTGACAGAGACAGAGGACTGATGACCAAAGGCATTAAGACTGGCCTGGTTTAACCCCCCAGAAACAGCTGACCTGACAAGGGTTAGCTCTTGAATCCCAGACTAATGCCTGGGAATCCAGCAGGGGACTGATCAAGACCCCCTTAATGGGGGTGTCAGTGAGGAGGCCTAGGTAATCTATTGAGCCTTGGGTAGTAGATCAGTATTTATCCCAGGTATACAAGTGGACTTTGAACTCCCATCCAACAATGAGAGATGCACTCTCACCCTGAACTCTTGGGGGAGGGTCCATGCCCTGTCCTGGATGAAATGACAGACTATGGACACCGCTTTGGAGGGCCTCACCCTCCCTGGGGAAATGAGGGGATATTGGGGGGTTGGTGGGAGGGCACTGGAGGAAGAGAGGGGAACAGAGAGGGACCTGGAATTGACATGTGAAGCAACCTTGTTTCTAATTAAAATTTAAATTTAAAAATAAAAAATATCTTAAAAAAAGGAGAGTTTCCTGGCTGTGGTGTCTCTTCACAGCAATAGAACCTCTAACGAAGACAGAATTTGGTACCAGGAGCTGGGTATTGCTGTGATAGAACTGACCATGCTTTTTTATGGAGGAATTTGGACTTTGGAAGTTTTGTAGAGGAAAACAGTGGAATGCTTTAAGTGGTATTTAATGGGCCACACTAGTAGGAACATGGAAGACTGTGGTACGGAGCGTAATTTGAACTATGAGGACCTGATTCAAAATTTCAGAGGAGAAGAATCTTAGTATATGGCCTAGAGATAATTCTTATGATATTTTGGTGAATAATGTGCTGCTTTTGGCCTTTGTCCAAAGCATATGCCTGGGGCTAAAGTGAAGAGAATATATTTGTTGTTTTGGTAGCTGTTGTTGGTGGGGATTTGTTTCTGTTTATTGATTTCAGCTCTGGGTTTGTTTATTTCTTTCTGTCTACACCAATTGATAAACTGGGCACTACTGTGTAAAGGGAGGCTTTTTCCTTTGAGGGGAGCCTTCCCGCCAGCCTGGTTCTAGAACCGCATCAGTCCCAAATAAACACACAGGAGGTTATACTAATTATGAAGCTGTTGGCCTTGCTTGTTTCTTACTGGCTAGCTCTGACTTAAGTAATTACCCCATAATTGTTAATCTAAGTATGTCTCTTACTGGAGAAGTTTCCGGGCCTCCTACCCCTTGGCGTTACATCTCGAACTCTCTTGTGTTTCTCCTTCCCAGAGTCCTCCTGGACTCCTAGTCCCACCTATCTAGATACCTATTGGCTCAACAGTGCTTTATTGACATAAGACTTCCCCAATATCTCCTCTTTTCTGTTTAAACAAAAAGAAAGGTCTTAACTTTAACACAGTCAAATTGTATATAATAGAACAGTTATCAAATAAGAACACAGTTACAATATTTTAGCAAGATTTAAAGAAAACATCATCCATCCCATCCTTGTGGGTCCAAAATTCTATATGTAGCTTATCTTTTATCATACCTAAGGAAAACTATAATTATAACTATCTTCAACTCCATCAAAGACCACAGAAGGATAATATATAAACATTAGAAATGACAGAAACATCTTGCCACCTGAACAGTCATCCAAAGTTCCTCTGTAACGTTGGGGCATCCATCTTCAGCCCATAGGCCACAGTGTGTCTGGAACACTTCTCAGCAAAGCAGGAAATTTCAAACTGTCCATCTGCATCAGCAGTCTGTCAGTCATTCTTCTGTGTCCTGCAGAAAGTCTTGTAGACTATTCCATGAAGCAGGAACCCTGTAAGACTGAGTTCAGTAGTCACTTTTCTGTGGGTCCTGCATGTCCAGATTATACCAACAACAGTCAGGCAGTACAGGCAAGAGCAGTTTCTTGCCCAAATGGCTAATCTTGCCATGTTGAAAGCAAACTCCATAACAAGTTTCTTCTATGCCCATCTTCCTCTCAGACATAATTGGTGCTGCCAGGAGCAGACATTTCTCATTGTCAAGAAAAACCCTAAACCATTTTAAATGCCATTTTCTGAAGGTCTTTGAGAGGTTTGAAGACTATCTGTCTCAAATACATCTCTATATATCTAGAAAACCTAACTTACCTATCTATAAGTTCTGACTATTATAAGTACTATCTAAAATCTGTATTTAATTATGCATTACGTTTTAAAAGATCAGTATAAGCACAATACTTAATCAAGAGGAGAAATATACACATCACAAAATTGACCTTCAATTTGTATCAATAAATGAAAAACCATACCCATACCATAATTCCCCTTTTTACCATTAAAAAGAGATTGGTTGTGATCATTAACCAATTATAAACAATCCCATTTAAATGAAAACAAAGATTTATAAACAAGATGGGAATTAGGACGTCGCTAATTCCAAACTGCTTCCTGCTGGAAGGGGGCGCTGTTCATACCATGGGGATCATGACAAAACTCAGAAACCTGTATAAGTCCCTATTTTCAGGTTCTGTAAAGCTCCATCATCTTAGCTGTCTCAATTGTTGGAACACCTGGTCCACTGCTTCCGGGGGTCTTGGTTCATCAAACCACAGAAGCCTGGAAGGAATTCTCAGGTTTTCATTTTCTGTAGAAACATAAATAAAAACTCCTTTTCGAAGTAACATATCCTTATACTTAAATTTTGAAGTAAAGGCATTTTTAAAAGATAGAAGTTGGATTAATTCAGCAGCATTTATAATCAAGTGTACTTTAGCAGCTGTTCCTTCCTGAGCAATCAAAAAACTGAAAAACACAATAGCGTATAGTATCCAGACTCTCTGTGTATTTTCCATCTTTACATGGCTTATTTATTTATCTATCTAATATTACTTTATTTCTTTTACTTTTATTTGTTTTTCTCTGAGACAGGATTTTTCTTGGGAAATCCGCCTGCCTCTGCCTCTGAAGCAATTCCTACCGGCATGAGCCACCACACATATTTACCACTATGGGTTTCCTTTTCTCTCTCAATCTTACGTATATTTTTAAACACACTGTAAACCTTTAGAGGTTTTTCTTCATCAAAGTCTGACTTTACTGTAAATCTTTATGTTTTTCTGGCCATGTGTCTTATCTGTTAAAACCGCGGCTGTTTTAAACTGACTTTTTTTTTTCAAGATGGCGGGTGTAAGCTTGATTCCAGCTCACTGTCTCAGTCTGACATCCAGTAAAAGCTGCCGGCTCAGAGATGTGGTCAGTGCCACTTCCAGCTGTACGTATAACTTTTCAATTGTTAGCAGAGTCTCTTAAAAGAACCTTGCTGGGTTTTTGTTGTTGTTGTTGTTGTTGTTTTAATGTTGAGTCAGGAAGCCTAACTTAAGCCAGCCGCGAGTCTCTGCTTGCTGCTAATAAAACAGAGTCCGCCTGAGAAAATGCTGCTACCAAAATTCTGTGCTTCTCTCTGTTCTTCTGTTTCTAAAATTCCTTTAAAGCTTTTGTTGTTTTGCGTGGAAATTCAATCCCGCTTCTGACAACCATTATGTAAAAGGAAACTTTTCCTTGAGAGAAGCCTTCCCACCAGCCTGGTTCTAGAACCGCATCAGTCCCAAATAAACACACAGGAGGCTATATTAATTATGAAGCTGTTGGCCTTGCTTGTCTCTTACTGGCTAGCTCTGACTTAAGTAATTTCCCCATAATTGTTATTCTAAGTATGTCTCTTACTGGAGAAGTTTCCGGGCCTCCTACCCCATGGCGTTACATCTCGACTCTCTCATGTTTCTCCTTCCCAGAGTCCTCCTGGACTCCTAGTCCCACCTATCTAGATTCCTATTGCCTCGACAGTGCTTTATTGACATAAGACTTCCCCAACACTACTGCTTTCTTTTTTCTTTTCCCAGATTTTTTATTTAAATTAGAAACAATCTTATTTTACATATCTATCCCAGTTCCCTCTCCCTTCCATCCTCCCATGCCCCCCCACCAACCCCCTTCTGCTCCCCAGGGATGGTGAGGCTTTCCATGGAGAATCACCAAAATCTGTCACATCATTTGGGGCAGGCCTAGGCCCTTCACCATGTGTCTAGACTGAGAGAGTATCCGTCCATGGGAATTGGGCTCCCAAAGTCCATTCATACACAAGGGATAAATACTGTTCCACTACCAGAGGTCCCATAGACTGCCAGGGGAATTCTGGGTCTGTATTCAGAGTTGTAATCTCCAGTGAATGGAGATTAGGTAAGAAGTAATGTACCTGTAAGCACACTGGTAAAAGGATAGGGGTGAGGCTGGAGAGACTATAATGAAGGAAATCTAGCAGAGTGAAAAACTCCTGAGTCCAGGTCTGGTGTGGTCACTGGAGATTCACAGGTAGAGAGTGTTTCTCAATTTCTTTGACTAACACAAAGAAATGGGAATGGGCTTGAAGGAGGTTGAGTGGGTCCACAGGAAGTTAGAAAGCAATGCCCACACTAAGGTTCAGGAATGCCCACAGAGAATGGAGGTAGGGTGGGAGAAGGGCCACTTGCAGACATAGTGCTACATTGTTGGGGTGAGACTGGAAAGCCAGCCACTTGCTCTTAAAAAGGGGCAATAAAGCTGTAGTAAAGCAGCCCCTGCCATGCCCCTACCTCACCACTTGGAAGAACATCATATAGGCACAGAGATACTGGTATTGTGACTTCATCATTATGATGCAGTCCAGTATGGGTTGGGGGAGGGGTAATGTGGTAACACTCTCCCAGGATCATTTTGTTCTTCCTCTTCTGGCCTGTTGGCAGGGAAAGGCCAGATGGCAGGCTGAAATCCAACTAAGCTTGTTGTGGTCTCTAGTGAAGTCAACTCCAGCACATCAGAACCTCCAATACACCTTCCTCAGGTCGTCATCTCTATTTCCTATTCTAACCATGACAGAGGAATATCTCCAAGTGTGAACTGAGACAAACTGGAAACAGCTGGCAACTTTTAACCACAGCATTGTAGTCAAAAGATCCTGTCTATCAAGACTCTCACAAATCAGTTGTTTACCAACCCATCATCTGCCAACCAGTCATGGACCAATCAGGCATAAACCAACCAGACATGAACCAACCAGATGTAACACAACCATCTGCAAGTGAACCAGAGATGAACCATCCAGACATCAGACAACCAGCCACAAACCAAACAGACAGAAGCCCACACAATCTGAACCAACCAGGGCCAAGCCAACCAAACATCAACCAGCCAAGCATGAGCCAGAATGGCATGAACAATCCAGATGTGACAAGATCAGATGCAAGCCAACCAGACATGAACCAACCAGACCTGAGCCAACCCAATATGAAAGAACCAGAGCCAAGCATGGACCAGCCAGTCATGAACAAACCAGATATGAGCCAACAAGGTTTGAGGCAGCCAGACCCAAGCCAAATGGGTATGAAAAAAACAGGTACAAGTAAACCATGCATGAATCAAGCAGGCATGAGTCAAACAGGCATATGGCAGTCAGGTTCACCTCTGCCTATCAGAAATCAAAGGAACCCATGGCAATGTGGTACAGGGTATCCAGGCAAGAGACCACCAGACATGTGGCAAACAGACCAAAGCCATCAGGGAATGAGACAATTAGACACAGTACAACAAGACCCAAGCTATGCAGGACAGAGACAACCAGATACATTGAAACCAGATCCAAGTTATCCAGGAATAAAACAAACAGAGCCATGGCAATGGGAACCAAGCTCTCCAAGCTTGAGAATAACAGACACATATCAATGCAACATAAGCTACGTAGGCAAAAAATATCCAAATTCATGGCAAACATGCCTAAATCACCCAGGCATTGGACAATTAGACTTCAAACAACCAGGTCCCACAGAACCAGGTATGAAACGATCTGACACATCACAACCAGGCCCTAATCAACAAAGTATGAGACTACTAAGCTCAGGGCACCTAGGCCCTAGCCGATCAGGTATAGCTTGGTCAGAAACACAACAACCAGGCCCTAGACCACAAGATATGATACCATTAGACACAAAGAAATTTTGCCCCAACCAATCAGGCGTGACAAAATCTGACATGTGTCAATCAGGCCCCAGACAATCTAGCATGAAAGAGTTTGACACATGGCAATCAGGCACCAGTCAACCAGGTAGGTCTGAAACATGGCAATCAGGCACCAGTCAACCAAGCAGGAAAGAGTTTGACTCATGGCAATCAGGTACCAGTCAACCAAGCAGGAAAGAGTTTGAAACATGGCAATCAGGTACCAGTCATCTAAGCAGGTTTGAAACATGGCAATCAGGCACAAGTCAATCAGGCATGAAACAGTTGGATTCATGGCAATGGGGTTCCAACTACCCAGACAGGACACAATCAGACAAATGGACAATAGGCCCTAGCTCCCTAAGTATGAGACAATGGGATTCATGGCAAACAGGCCAAAGCCAAATGGGCATGAGATATTCAGACTCGTGGCCATGGGGCCCAAACTCAGGCATGAGACACTCAGATTTATGGCAACCAAGCCCTGGCCAATCAGGCATGAGACAATCAGATGCATGGCAAACATCTCCAAGCCACCTAGGCATGAAACAACTGGATACATGGCAACGAATTCCCAGCATCCCTGGGGTAAGACAATTATATACATGGCAGCCAAGCCCAAGTTGTTCAGGGACAAGACAATCAGAAAAATGGCAACTGTGTCCCAGCAACCCAGACATGAGACAATCAGATACTTGGGAACCAATGTCAAGGCAATCAAAGGCAAGCACCAGCCAACTGGGTTTGGGCCAAGAAGACATGGAACAATCACAGAAAAGTCAACCAGAAACCACTCAACTAGACAAAAAACAATTAGAAACAAGCCAACCAGATACCACCCAATCAGGAACTAGTGAATTGGATACAAGCCAACCAGACACTATCCAGTCAGGCCAAGGAGGAATGACACAATCAGATACATCAGAGCCAACTCCAAGCCAACCAGAGAGAAAAGCCAACCCATCAGACAACACCAGCAACTCAGACCCAAGTCAGGTAGTCATAAGTCAACCAGGTGAAAGTCAATTACAGCCAAGCGTATCAAGCATGAGTGATTTAGGTACAAGTCAAGAAAGAATGATCCAATCATCCATGAGAAAAGCAAATACTGCTCCTTTCCACATAAGACCTGCTATGCCTCAAGATTGCCCAGAGATCCTACGACTGATAAAAGTAAGCCTGTATCTTCTTATCCCTTAGAAATTAGTTCAGGGCTGAAAGAACAAAAGGAATGCATAGTCTACGTTTGAATCTAGCTCTATTAATTATGATCCATATTCATAGTGTTTTGGAATTCACTAAACCTTTCTAATCTTTATTTTCATATAAATCAAGATTATAGTATTTGCTATAACAAGAGATTGCTGTAACGTTTTCTTTACATGCAGAATATAAATTTTAATAAAATATGAGATGCGGAATATAGCTCCATTAGTAAAACATATCCAGAAGTCTGTTCAGATACATCCCATGAGTCTAAGTTAAATGAGTGAAAGTTTTCTTATGCATACATTTATTTTAATGCCATTCCTAGAAACCATCCTAGTGCAGTAAGGTGACAATGAATTAAATATAGTTACAATGATGGAATTTTAATGTACTGATGGTAGTCATTCATGTGATACAGATGTGTATGTAGTAGTTTTCTTTGGGCTTTATGTTCTTTAATATATTTCCATTTTACCCAATACCCAATAATTTCCAAATTTAGAAAACACTCTTTGCAAAGGAATTTATTAGTTTCCCATCAAAATTCCTTAGCTAAAAGACATCACTATGAGGCACTGTGTAGCTGTATACTAGCATTGTAGCAGAGTATAAACCTTTTCCTATGCTTGATCTTAAAAAATTCTAATGTTTTGGTGTTAAAATGTTTTGCAGAACATACACTAAATGACATCTTCCTCATGGGAATTTTACATTTTTTTAAGTTTGTATACATATATTTATATTATAAATCCAGAATATACTAACATCAAATAAAGTAGGTGAAGCAAAGATGGTAAGTTCTCAAAAGTAATTTCAACAAAATTAAATACTGTAACTGGGGTTTTTATTACATAATTTGAAAATTACTAGTATACTCACTGAACATTTCTGTTCAGTTCTAAACAAACAGTTAAGATGTAAGTGACTTGTTGATACTGTGAATTAGACTATGAGTTTACAATTCATTAGTCGCAATATAGTGTCTGTTTTTTTGGGTTTTTTTTGGTTTTTTTTTTTTTACGAGACAGGGTTTCTCTGTATTGTTTTGGAGGCTGTCGGTCCAACCTGACCTCGAACTCACAGAGATTCGCCTGTCTCTGCCTCCCGAGTGCTGGGATTAAAGGCATGCACCACCACCGCCCGGCATGTCTGTTTTTAATATATGTTTTCATATATACATGACCATTGTAATACATATAAGAATTAGATGTTATTACATTATTTCTAATACTAGGAATAATATTTTAAGTATCAAAAATAACACTGCTGTCTTCAATTAATGGCCCTTTTATTGTGGCTCCAGGATTTTCTTTGCTTTGAGACTTGTACTTAACTTTTTTCTCCTCTTAAGAAACAAACATAGGTTCGTTCTTAATTTTCTATAGCAAAAAAATAATGCCTCTCTGCCATAAACAACTGACAATATGCTATAATGTAACATTCTGAATGACAGACCTATGGTATTTCAAATCTAAGTAATTTCAAAAGAAAGCAAAGACTACTTAAGCTTACATATTTCAAATAACTATACCTTAGACCAAATTTAGATAATTATCAGAATCTTCAATCCTAATAATAATTCTATGATTCTGTGAAACACTGAAAGTTAAAATTTTTGACATGTTCAGAAATACTTAAGAGTTGTTTTAAAATACAGCTATGTGGGGTTTTTTATTGTTCTGTTTTGTTTAGTCATGCTGCATTTTGTTTTGAGACAGGGTTTCTCTCTGTAGCTGTGACTGTCCTAGAACTCACTATGTAGACAAGGCTTGCCTTGAGCGCATAAATATCTGCCTCTGGATTTTTTGAAGAAAAAATTAATGTCATTTTGTCTTACTTAGGGTTACTATTGCTATAATGAAACACCATGACCAAAGACAACTTAGGGAGAAAAAGGTTTATGTGGCTTACATATCCCAAGTCACAGTCCACTGAACGATGTCAGGACAGGGATTCAAACAGGGCAGGAACTTGGAGGCAGGAGCTGATGCAGAGAGGCCATGCAGGAGTGCTGCATACTGGTTTGCTCCCCATTGCTTGCTCGGCCTGCTTTCTTATAGAATCCAGGATCATCAGGCCAGGGGTGGCACCAACACAAATGTTTGGCCCCTCCCCCATCAATCAGTAATTAAGGAAATAAATGCTCTATGGGATTGAATGTAACGCTTAAATATATACAGGCCTAAAATGACTATAGCTGGATCTTATGGAGGCATTGTCTCAGTTTAGGTTCTGTCCTATCCAATGACTCTAACCTGTGTCAAATGACAGAAAATGAGCCAGCACATTGCTTTTTTTGGGAGGACCTTAAACTTATTTCAGTTATATACATCAGTAAGGTCTTATTCAGGGTTAGGAAATATTCTGTTGAATTCTTATATGGGAAAATATGATATTATCACAGTTTTTGTCAATATGAAATAAAACCTGAGCTTTTCTAGAAAAAATAAAATATATAAATGAAAGAGTAATGTAGATAAAAGTTTGAATACAAGAGAATATAAGAAAATAATATTAGAAGAAAAATATTTTAATACTTGAGTACATATGTATTTTCATATTGCTGATATGATTGAATTTGGCATTGTAAATAGAAAATGTATGCATAAAATTAAGATTTTATTGTTGTCCTTGTTCGGGTCATGTTTAAGCGGTCATTTTGGTGAGAATTTATGGGTTTAAAATATGACATTGCTAAGTAAGCAAGGAGTATATGGGAGGGTATAGAGGGAGAAATTATGTAGTTCCATTATCATCTCAAAAATAAATTTAAAAGTTTTCATAAAAATTTCAGACCTAGCATAGTGAAAACTAATGAAGAATCCAGAACTTCTCTAAAAGTAATGTGAGAATATGGTATTTGGTAATGGATATTTCAAATCACTAAATAAAAGAGGGGTCATGCAATTAATGGCACTGGAATGACAGGGTAGGTATGATGGTGATATTATACCTCAGTATTTACACATGCAAAAATACACAAACAAAAAACTTAAGAACGTAAGAGGATAAAACCTAGCCCTTTGTACAATTAATATCCTCAACAAAATTGAAGCAAAGGACAAAGGAGAACAAGAGTAAATATTTTATAACTTTCCAAGTATGAGATAGGCATCACAAAGAAAGAATTTGGATGTGTGAAAATTTTAATAATGATAAAGGCCACAATTTTAAATTTCTAGTTACATTAGCAAAGCAACCCCAGGCAAACACATGTCACAAATTTTTCTGTAAAGTCATAATAAATAATCATTGTGACTACCCAGAAACAAGTTTTGTTTTCTTTATTTTCCAGGTTCCTAATGGATTCAAAGCTAGTAACCCAGTAGCTAACCTTCACATAATTGAGATATCAAATCTACCATGTGTCTACTGTCCCTCTATAAATCTATCAGCCTAGCTATCACCTAGCTACTAACTATTTATCTACCTAATTTGTGTTGTAATGCTGGTTCAGATTTTAATTTTGAGATAACTCAGCAAGTGCGACTTCTTTGTAACATATTACAGGATACCTGTGTGTATGTTTTCAATAAATATTTCAATGATTACAACATCTGCTATATCACCAGTGGAAAGTGTTTTTTTTCTACTTTGACAGGAAATGGCTTCCCATGAAGACATGCAAGAAGAAGTGACATTAACAGAACTGGGTAAGATGTTTTGTGAATGCAGGCACACAGAATAAATACTTAGAAACACAGAAGCTGCTGTCCTCATTACAAAAATGATCCTATTAATAATATTGAAATATACAAGATATAAATTCCATAGCCTTTTCAAATTTTCACTATTTTTCATTTTCTCCCTTTTTAGCATGAAATGGATACATAATGGCTCATGTCTCTACACAGATGCAATAGATTTCAAATGCATTTCAAAATAGACTAGTCAAAAATTGTTACTTAAAATGCAGTATTTTAGTAGAAAGTTTGAAAAAAGTTTTTAATACATTTGATAATCAAAAATATTAACAGATAATGTAGAAAATTATTATGAATTAGAACTTTTTGCACAGTAATAAGACTAAAAGAGAGTGAATCATCATGACTGGTAAAGACCAAACAAGAAGGGTCATTTATTAAACATTAGAAGAATCTAGTGAAGGATAGACATTTTAAATTGAATATTTAAGAATGTACATAATCTACTAAGAACCTTCCACAAAATAAATTCTTATACTCTGTGGAGATTTGTTTTTACACTTTTTATATCATGCTATTTTGTTAAGCTTATGTTTTCTATTTTTTCTTTTTCTTTTACTGTGCTTTTGCTGTCAGATATAACTAAGAAACCATTGCCACATATAATGTTTTACAGATTTCCTGCATTTTCGTCTAAGAGTTTTCTAATTTTATATCTACACTGGGATCTTCAATCTATTTCAAGCTATATTCTAAATATGATAAAAAGGGTCCAACTTTATTATTTTATATATGGATATATAGTTTTCATAAGATGATTTATTGGAAAGTCAGTCTTTTCCTCAATTAATGGTTTTGGTACCCTGATAATAAACTGGTTAATCATATAAATTTGTGAGTATTTATTTTAAGGCCCTGCTTCTGTTTGGTTGGTCTATATGTCAGGTTTCTTTTCAACATCGTATTGTTTTAATTACTATAAACAAGATAGTGAATCTTAAAATTAACAATGTGTGTCTTCCAACTTTATTCTTCTGTTTTAAAGTTGGTTTGGATATACAAAGTTCTTTGGAGTCTCTAGTAATTTAAGAAGGATGGTAGACGTGGTGCTTTGAATGAGAATGGCACCGAGTTTGTGGACTGTTTAGGAAGGATTAGGAGATGTAGTCTTGTTTGAGGAGGTATGTCACTGGGGATGGGCTTTGAGGTGTCAAAAGCCCAGGCCAGGCCCAGTGACTCTCTCTCTGCCTGCTGCCTGTGGACCAGAATGTAAAGCTCTCAGCTACTTGTCCACATTAGGGACAAGACAGTTATTGATCAACCGGGATTCAACAAACTACTCCAGAAACACAAGCTACTGCTAGAAAAAGCAAAGGGAGCTAGGCAGATAGCTGGCACCACATGCTACTTTAGCCAAAATGAACAGCAGATACAACCAGATTCTCCTGAAAGTTGTAAATATTGAAATATTCACTTCAGATGGTTTTCCTAGTGTAGCTGCTGTACAGGTGGAAGATGTGATCCTCCTGCTTCCTATCTTGTCATCTTTGTTCGCTTATAAACTTTGACATACTGTATATGAATTGGTATTTCAGATTTATTCAGGGATGGTTTTGGAAATAATCCCCTTTTCTACTGCCTGATTGCTGAATCACCCAATCAAGAAACAGAATCGGGTAAATATTCCTTCTCCAGTTTAATCTATAATATATTTTCTATATATCTGAAAGCAGAGTTAACAGCTAATAAATACACATTGTATAAATAGTATTAAGCAGAGGAGTACAGTATGCAAACCTGGTATACTTTTAAATAAGTGTTCTGTAACTCTGATTATAAAAGTATTAAAAACTAAAAACTATATGTTTTCTTTTAAAGGCTATAAGTAAACCTTCCACGTTATAAATTTATGTACTAATACTTTGTCCAGCAACCACTTATTGCATTAATAGTTAAAGCAGCAAACACCCTTCCATATTCTATTTGAAAACATATACCTTTTTATGATTTAAAATATTAGCCTCTTTGTCCCCTGCCTCCTCCCCAGGATTCAAAACTATTGGCTTTGCCATGTACTACTACACATATGACCCATGGGTTGGCAAAATGCTTCACCTAGAGGATTTTTACATCAGTGAAGAGTACCAAGGTAAAACTGCAATCAATAGTATTTTCAAACATCAAAAGTTTCTAAATTACACTTAATAAAGGCTTAGTATAGGTATGATTTTTAAGTTATTCAGGTAATTCATTTCCATTTCTTGAGCCTGATCAGGATCCTAGTAAATACTCAACTACAAGTTAGACAGCATTTCAATAGTATTTTTTAAACATACTTAAGTAAGATATGCTGTTTACAACTACTATTTTTATCTGTAAAACTTTTATATTATGGGTTTTTTAATAGACATAGTTAAGAAATATACCCTGCTGTATGACAGCAGTGAGGGCCAGCTTAGTGGCACACACCTTTAATTCCAGTATTTGGGATGCAGAGGCAGGCAGATCTCTGTGAATTCAAGTACAGGCCATCCAACAATAGATTGTAAAAACCCTTTCTCAAGAAAAAGAAAGAATACAAAGACAGAGACACATTTATTCACCATGGATTTTTAAGATAAAACTAATCTCTTTTGTATTACCATGGTTGCCATGCTCCAATAAGACAAAAGATAATTTACAGCATTCATGAGTCCAGTTTCAACACAGTACTATGTATATAATAGAATATATGGCAGCCATAAACAGTTTGATCTTTTATTGCTTTAAAATTAAAATAAATAACTAGTTAAGTAAAAAATTTCAATTTACAGCCTTATTTGACAATGTCTATTTAATAGGTCTAGGTATTGGAGCTGAAATACTGAAGAAGTTAAGTCAGGTATGTGTTATAGTTAGTATTGATAGTCTATATATTATTATTATTTTCTTCACCAAGTGTTATTTGAACAAGGCACAGATTGGATAATTAATCTTATTAATTAAATATAACATTAGCACTTGCTCAGTTGATAAAGTACTTGCCTTGCAAACATGATGATTTGAGTCCAAGCCCCAGAACCCACATAAAAAGCCAGGAGTAGTGATATACACTTTTATGCCAGCAATGGCAAGGTGACAGGTAGGGACTGTTGGCTTTCTTGTGCTCAATGGCTGCCACCCTAACCTACTCAGCGAAATTTCAGGCCAGTTAGAGACTTTCTCTCAAACAAAATCTGGAGAGTATCTGAGGGATAACAACTGACATTGCTCATCACCACGTGTATGCGCACAGATGCACCCAGACCCATAAACACGTGCATTCACATACACAAAATGTTTGTGCAACATGTACTTCAAATATTTATTAAAGTGGATTCTCAAGTTGAAAGCTCAGACTCTCTAAGTTATTTTTAATTACATTTTATTCTTACAGAATGTACAAATACTGTATGATTTTTTACCACCAAGGATAAGTAAGCATGAGGGAGAATAGAAAGCAATTATACTCATAAAATAGACAATGTGACTTGCAATAATATAAAAGATTCTTTTAGTCCAAAATACTTGTAGTATTTTGAATTATTATATTCAGTAAAATGTAAGTGACTATAGTGTCAAATAAGGACAATATTTACTTGTTTGTCTTAAAACAGATAGCCATCAACATCCAATTTTACTTATAAAATAGACAATGTGACTTGCAATAATATAAAGGATTCTTTTAGTCCAAAATACTTGTATTATTTTGAATTACTGTATACATATAGTATTATCTATAGTAGAGCTTCAGTAAAATGTAAATGACTATAGTGTCAAATAAGGACAATATTTACTTGTTTGTTTTAAAACAGATAGCCATCAACACCCAATGCAGTGCCATGCAATTTCTTGTTGTCATTTGGAATCAAGATTCTGTTGAATACTACACTCGCCTAGGGGCTTCAGACCTTTCCTGTGAGGAAGGCTGGCATCTGTTCAGGTTTAACATTGAAGATCTCCTAGAACTTGCTGAGGAAGAATGAAAAAAACCTAGTTACAACTCATCATAATATAGGCCTCAACATTTGAATGTCACCTTAGAACCATCGCTTCAACATCAAATGTTGTGAAATAAAGCAAGTGAACACAATATCCTTGTAGAAATTTGACTTTGAAACAAATTTTCCAAGATAGAGTCAACTCTTCATTATCCAAACTAAACACTAATGGCTAGTAAAAGTTCTAACAATCTAATTGATTATATCATTATATCATTCAAAACCCAATTGGAGTTTTAGTAACTATTTCATCAAATGTACAATGGTTATTTTCACGTAATTGAAATTAAGATAAGCACAATGCTCAAATGGCATTTTCTTAAGGATTTATGTCTTATATATGAAGTATGGGTATATTTAAATAGACAGGTATGAATTTTAAAATTCATTTCCTACAGTGTTGCTAAGGTCTGAAGACCTTACTTAGGAAAATGAGTTATTCTTTATCTTTGGCATTCAGTACCACTGCCTATTTGCTACTGTTCCATAACTACATTCCATCCCTGGACATCTGGAGCACTTTGGTTGTACTTAGAGAAGATATATGTTTCCATCCTTCCTGGTACAGCTGTTTTACAGAGTTATAATTATTTTGGAATTATGTAACCATCTAGAACCATCATAAACAGGTGAGCTCCTGATATACACCAGCCAAACCCACCAAGGATATTTTTCTGTGAGAAAATACTTATTTAAAAATTGTATACTTTAAATAATACCAAGGACATGGGGTTGCAATCCTCCTATATGCAGGATTGAAAAAGGTGACAATAAAATTATAATTGAAGGTTGGGTAGGGCATGAGAACATAGAGTAAAACAAGACAAAGGGGCATGCTGAGAGGAAACAACACGGGCAGTGAAGAGGAAGAAAGAGCAAACATATTCACTAAGCAAGTGGAATGTCATAAATGTACATTTGAAGGATGATATATAAGAAGGAAGATTAGAATATGAGACAGAAGATAGTAATAAATTTCCATTTGATTTTATAGGCAATGGTGAGCCACTAAAGTTTTGACTCAGACACTTACTTGATAACTGTCAAAAGTTGACTGTCACAAAATCAGAGATGAGTTGTAAGAATCAGGTAATACACACTTAAATCAAACTCATCCATTTCTAATCTTTGACATTTTGCCTTCCTAACCACAAGAAAAAAATATTGTCTACTTTCTTTAAATAAAGACTGCGACTATATAGGTTCTGGTTTAGATATATACAGAAATCTTCTGATGGAAACAACTCAGGTGATTCTCTGCATACTATATACCTGTCCCTTTGTCTTCCTAATTTGGATATGTAACATGCTCCTTGGAGGTCCAACAGTCATCTTGTGACTCAGAAATATGCTAAGATCAGTGTGGAAAATCTAGGTCTTGATTTCACCAAGGAAACAGTGTATTATACCTATGTCACCTTATTTCTGATTATAAATGTATTACTTGTTTAAGCTCTTTACCTGGTTCACATTTGATAGTGTGCAGATTAGCCAGTACATTACTGTGACTTCAGGAGAGTGATGATGATGATGTAATAAGAATATGATAGGACTAGAAAAAGAAGAATAATAGATTTGAGAAATAAGAAATGAAGAAGGTAGACATTTAGTTTTAGACACAGTGGACATTGAAATACCTTTGAAATGTTGAATCGATATAAATTAGAAATATAGGTTGGCTTATAATACTAGAGAAAGATTGAGGCTATATTATGAAGAATAACTTAGAAATTGTTGCTGAAGCCAGAAGTTGGTTGAATAAAAATGAAAGCATACAGAGAATGAGAAATGATCTCAAAGAATGGAAGCCAAGAAGTCTCAGCCTTTAAGAGTTTTAGAGCAGCAGAAGCATGAAGAGTAACAAGAATGCAGGAGTAACAGAAAACAAGAGGAGGAGGAAGTTTCAAGGAGGGACCTGTGAAATGATCAATGACCTAAAAATTCAAGTAGGTACAGAAGCTAGGATGTTTCAAGTTCAAGAAAAGTCAAGAGAGAAATCTAGACAGGGAATTAATTGCCCTTTTTAATGTCAAAACTAAATTTTTACTTATAAAAGTAAAATTAAAATGACAGCATAAAACTAGTTGGGTATCTGACATTGTATCTGAAAACCCAATGTGTCAAAGTAGCTCTAATTCTCATGGAGTTCTAAGATGCTCATCAAGTATCTCGGTTCTAATTTTCCTTTTAGTATGCTTAATTCTGGAAATAGTTGTTCACAAATGTAGGTGACACCTAAAGCAATGGCAAGAATGTGTTATTTGAAGTAAAGGATATTTGAGTCTAGGACAGTGGAACCTGTAAGTCTACTAAAGAGAAATGAACTTTTTTTCCCTTTAAGTTCAGCTCCATGCTTTCCACAGTGTTTATCATGACATAGAAAAGAACTTTGGGAGCCCATTCCACATGGAGGGATGCTCTCTCAGCCTGGACACATGGGGGATGGCCTAGGTCCTGCCCTGGATGAAATGACAGACTTTGGAGATGCCCCCAAGGAGAGCCTCACCCTCCCTGGGGGATGATGTGGGGATTGGGTGGGGAGCTGGGGGACGGCTGGTGGAGGGACAAGGGAGGAGGGGTAAGAGAGGGGGCTGGGACTGACATGTGAAACATGCATGCATGTTTCTAAGACATAATTTTTAATAAAAGTTTTAAAAATGGAGTTGCAAATATATTTTTTTCAGAAATCTTAAAATTTGTTTTCACATTCTTATATAAAAAGCAAGGTTACATAATTTTTAGAGCTCAGGGAACTATGCTTAGCCAACATGACAACATGGAATAATTTTGGTTTCATTTAGAACACTATTATAATTTGACAAATTGTACTGATACGTTGATTTTTACCTTGAAAATACATATTTATATCACTTAAGTAAGTTAAATACCTGAAAATGCTAAGTCTGTTTTTCATCATCAAGTTCTGCCATGAAGTTTTATATGTGATACCATAAAGGCCTTGACAATGTTTTACAAATTATTACATCTAAAAGTAAAAAATATTGCCATGTCAAATTCAAATTTTAAAAGTATTCCTATTAATTGGTGATAATTTAATCCATTGACTCTTATAAAATTCAGGATTAAAAATGATGTACAAACTGAGAAAGTGGTATTTATATTTAGGGATTACACACATACACAGCCCAACAGACACAGATACACAGACACAGGTACATGTGCGGTGTGCGTACACATGGGCACACGCATACACATGTACATGCATAACAATAACTAATGGTAAGAGGCCATAACATTGAAAGAGAGCAAGGAGGGATATATGGGACTTGCAGGGAGGAAAGGGGAGGGGGAGTTATGAAAGCATAATTTTAAAATTGGTTTAAATAATTAAAATATGTATATTAACTTTTTAGATTTTCTTTTTCTCTGCTTTTAATTTTTGAGATTATAATTACATCAGTCCTCCTCTTTCCTCCTTCAAAATTCTCCCACTCCTTGCTCTTTTTCAAATTTATGGCCTCTTTCTTCATTAATAGTTTTTACATACACATATACATACATACTACTAAAGATGTAAGAACAACCTGCTCAGTCTGTATAGTGTAATTTGTGTTTTCAGTGTTGACCATTTGGTATTGAATAACCAATTGGTGTGCTCTTCCCTGAGGAAGACTATTTCTCCTGCTCTCAGCATCCTTCATTGCCTGCAGTTCTTTGAGTTGGGCTGAAGCCTCCTGCGCTTTTCCCTACCCAGTCTGCCATGTCTATTGCTGTCTCTGTTCCATACATCTATACAGTGCATTCTGAACATATCTATCGACCACCGCTTCCTCCGCCTCTCCTTTATGCTCTCCACTCAGTCTCCCTCCTAACTTCACATCATATTTTTATTTTGTTATTAATAACACTAAGTCTCATTAACAACGCTCATATGCACATGGGTACAGGCAATTCAGTGGGGCATCAGCAACCTACCATGGGCCACACATCCAAGAGAAAGTGACTGTCCCTCTGACAGCAGCAATCAGTAGATCGCAGCTCCTTGGATAGGGGGTAAGGCTTCAACATGGAGGGGCAGGGAGGTCTCCTATCTATGTTGACTGGTTTGATCTTGAACATTCCATTTTTAATACGTAAAAACTCTCCTGATAGTGTGTGTGTGTGTGTGTGTGTGTGTACATTAGTGAGTGTGGACACATCTATGCTACAAATACATGTGCTATGATCAAAACTTGTTTGAGACACATTTCTTGTTTTTCACCATTACATATACCGGGCTAGCTACCCCACAAACTTCTGGGGGGTACTCCTACTTCCACATCCTATCTTGTAAGAATGTAGGAACTAAGATTTTAGAGGTGCACTGCTGCACTTGGTATTACTAGAGATTTAGACTTAGTTCTTCATGCTTTTATGACAAGCCTCTGACTCACTAGACCATCTCTCAGCCCCATTTTAATGGTCTGCACACAAAAATGTTGGAGTGCTATGTAGTGACACTCAATTAGATACAAATTTGAGGAAGCAATTTCATTGTCTTGTATTAATTTTACAAATTCCTGTCTTTTATCCTCCATCACAGGGATACTGTCAGTAACTATACTAGATATGTTGACAGTGGATAAGGAAAATTCTTTTAACATATATAGTATTGCTTCATATAAATCCCGTGACTTTGTTGTACCCTTTAATGTGATTAAAGAAGTCATTTCTTCAGTAACACTCTATTTGTCATCAATGCTATCATTAAACTATCATATTCAACCATATTTGGAGCATCAGTGCTATTATCCATCCCTAAAGCATAAACTTTAAAATCGGTGGTTCTTCTCCCAAACTTATTTCAATGGACTTTACCATTTCTCCAATTTGCCTGACTGTACTCTGATGAGATACATTTATTTTAGAACTATCTCCCCCTTTCTAAGAGTGCTATATTTCTCATAATCTCTACACTGCTTAAGAAACTCGTTATGAGAGATGCACTCTCACCCTGGACTCTTGGGGGAGGGTCTAGGCCCTGCCCTGGATGAAATGACAGACTATGGATACCTCCATGGAGGGCCTCACCCTCCCTGGGGAAAGGAAGGGGTATTGGAGGGGTTGGTGGGAGGGCATGGGAGGA